GGGGGGGGCAGTATTGTTATTCTTGTTGAATAATTGAATTTTCATTTTATGCTGATGTCTCATGATTCTGAATCTTACAATATTGTCTGCTGTCATCTGAAAGCAGATTTATTGTACATGTATCACTTCCAATCTACTAATTTATGCTTCACGGATGCTTTCCTACAGTATGTTCTGTTCCAATAACAAGTAGTTGATGGTATTTCTGGCGCTTCTGTGTATTTGTATTCATCTGTTTATGGAATCCTTAGTCAAGGCAACATGGACCTAAACATCAACTTAGTAGTAGAGACAACTCTGTTGCTTTTGCTTGTACAATTATGAGCTTATAAACTAGGAACACTGTTAATAAATCAAATTCAAGTTCTGCATCACTCCAAAGCATATTGTTTATTGTTTTTGAGCAATAAAGGACATTACGGCTCTATTCTGAAGCATCAGAAGTGAACCATAAAATTGTTTGGGAGGAATTAGTGAATAAAAGTTTTTGTTCTCTTGATCATGTCAGTCTTGGTCTTTGATTAGTATCGTTTTCGTATTTACAAGTGAGTGCTCAGAATGGAAGAGATTCTTGTAAAATGTAGGAGAATGATGAGTGAGTTGTCAAAGACAGCGGATATGAAATTTAGAAGATGGGAAATATGTGGTGACATAAATGGAGTTTCAAGTCTTGCAAGTTTTGTATCATTGCCTTTTTTCTGTAAGAAGCACGCAATATCCTCTCATCATGCTAAATTTGCTGGTTGCTTCGGACCCGTTAAAAGAGGGGCTCAAATTCACAAAAAAAAAAAGAGCGTGTTAATTTAGGAAGCTTTATGTGGGAGCTCGTAAAGGGATTGGTGGGCAGCAATGTTATGGAAAGTAGTGTACATGTCTAATCATGTGATCAAAACATGGGATATTGTAGCTATAATTATTTAATTAGAGTTTTCTTTGATGATGATTAACTGAACAGTGGTAAAAAAGTTAAGCAAAGGCTTTGGCCACACCTTGCACACCAGAGAAATTAGATAAATCAGTTTATGGCAGGATTGCTCAAGTACTGGAAATGGGAATGTTTTAAAACACATTCTAGAAAATTTAATATTCTGAAACATCCTCTTCACTTTGCCAATTTGGTATACTGAACCATCATGTGATTTCAATTTAACATAATATCTTGTATGTTTGCTTAAAGGCCCAAGATTCATTATTCGTCTTTCTGCATGTGCACATGTTATTTGTTGAAGGAATTTAAGCAATGTAAGTTCTCCTTGACTTGCTGGTGTTTTGTCTGTTGAAAATATTTAAGGAATTAAGTTCAGTGGGGGACATTTTTACACCATCAGACATAGAAAGGGCCCTGTGGAGTTCTGCTGTAGGGGCCAAGTTGCTAGCTTTGCAATCAGATCCAGACTCCAAGAAGGCTAACACGGCCAGAGACATCAAGAGAAAGAGAAAACGTTGATATAGGGACGTGCCACTTGCACCAATGCTTGTAAGCTCTTTGCTAATTTGTAAACATTCTTTATGCATACTTACCTATTCATGAACAGCAAATCCTCTCCAATTTTTATTTACCTGTTTATTTGGCTCTCACCTTGCAGGTGCTAATGATCGATCAGTGCCTGCTAACCTCACATTACTAATTTTCAGCGCTCTGTGTTGGTTAAAGAGTTGCAAGGTCAGAACTTACAGGACAGCATTTTGTCCTCAAATCACTTCTCTGGTACACTTAATATGGTCAATGCATGTAATATTAGGTTGGGAGATTCGATCTTAGGTGAGGCAGTTAGCTCTTTCATTTATTGTGGAAAGTTGAAGGACTCGCTAATCTTATGGGACCTTGTGTATTATTATTTCTCCAATGCCATCAAAACAGGGTCCCAGATCTGTTTGCTAGCTTTGCAGCTGCTACTTCCTCCTCTTCTCTTTTCTTAAAGACCTGTTCTGACCTTACTCCTAACCACATTTTTTCCTTCTCACCTGGGACCTCCCCCACGATGGCGAGGGATGATTCCATCAAGCCTAGAAGCTTTGCAGCTAACTTCAACAGATTCACATTCGAGAAGTGGAGCGGTGTTGTTTATTATATAATGAATCAGGGACCTTATCCTCTTCACTAGTCAGATTTGACATCTTCAAGCTATGCTATGTTTCAAGTCAGATTTAGACTAGTTACATTTATGATACATTGAAGGTCAGTTTTGAACTCCCTGTATGCAGACCCAAATATTCTTATACGCTTAAGCATAAACCAGTGCTTACCTGCCGTGCTTCGAAATGTTGGGTGAATGTTTTGCGCATGCGATGGCTTGCTTTCATTCATTTCGGCTGTCCTTAGTTGCATGATGATGATGATTCTAAAATCTGGATAGGGAGGGGCTGATCACCTAGCTCATGACCCAGAATGCGAGACAAAGTCTACGAGACACCTAAGCCCGATCCTTTAATGGGTCATGCACTTCTCCGAGCATCCGAGACCTAAACGCAGATTACTTCCTTTTGGGTTTGGGCATATCATGTGGTCCATGTTTTCATTAAACCTGACAAGGATGGTGCAACTTCCTGGTTGACCCAACAAGCTCACAATGTCCATCTCTAGACTAGACCCATGGTATTCACAGAGTCCAGTAAGGCAACACCCCAGGTAGCATAAGGCTAGTTACGGATAGATACAACTTGACATGAACAGTTCATCTTCAGGTGCATTTCACCCTGGAGATTGGTTATGCAATCTCCATTGACAATGAACAACTCATGAAACCTAAAGCTCATACAATTTTGAGAGAGGCTTTTGTCACTCTAAGGATGTGTCACCATGCAGTCTAGGATCGTGTTTATATTTATATTATATTTTTTTTATTTTAAATTAATTTTTATATATTTTCAAATTGTTTTAATATACTGATATTAAAAATATTTTTTAAAAAATAAAAAAATAATATTTTTATGTATTTTTGAATAAAAAACTTTTGAGAAGTAATCACTATTATTTCGTATACTACCCAAGACTATAGACAGTAAAACTATATAAAGTATAAACTGCCTTCAACGACAGGATATGTCATTTTCAACCGTACTATCTTCATGCTCTTACAGCTTATGATTCTAGTTGCAATTATCTCACCTTAAACTCCGCAAACAAACAACACAAATCCCAAGGATATTTTACTCCCTCACTTGTGCTAACTTAAACGCCGACGAGTTTTTAAACCTTGTAGAAAACTTGTTTGCAGGAGTTTGTGCTAAATCCAACATTCTTAGCCGTCTACTCGCCTCGAAAAAGACAATATCTGTAAGGTTTTTGGAGAACCTCATCAGGTGCTGAACATCATCCTTTCCTTTCAACCGTAATAAAGAGTAAATTGCCAACAAAAACACAATCATGCAACTACACTTGTTGCCGACTCCGAAATTAACAAATCAGAAGGCGAAAGAGAGTAGCAAGGTTCAGACATGTGTGGCCTTGTAGGCAAGCCCTCGATTAAATAGTACATCCCGTTTTGTATGATGAAGCTTTCGCCAATTGATATGGGTTCGGGTTGGGACTAGCCACGAGTGTAAACCAAAGACCATATGCAGTCTCGGACAAGGGCTACGGTGTCGCACTTTAATGACTGCATCGCACTTTCATGGTTTGGTTGGCCGATCGTGGATATTGTACAACACAACAATTTTATTTATTTTTACTATTCATTACTTTGCATTTCTCTAAATTCCTTGTAGACGCACTGTTAAATGAACATTGCCACCTTTTATTTTTTATTTTGGTCATCAAATCTTATTCCTTTTCAATTCCATCCTTACATGTAATGTTGGTGGTATTTTTACGTGTTAGAGATTTTCTTTTCTTTGTATATTCTTGTGAATTCAAAGTGTTTGATAAATTTAAAAATTGAATATAAATAAAATAAAATGAGTTTAAAGGAGAAGGACAAAAAAAAAAACCAAAAAAAAAAGAAGAAACAAATGGGATCCCTTTCATTTTTTGTGAAAAACTTCATTTTGGTTGATATTGTGTTCATTTACAAATTTTTGGTTCCTGTGGTTTTTATAATGTACGTTTCGATTCTAATCTTTATTCATTTAATGTTTCGGTCATTGACGTTTTTTTTTTTAAGAAAAAATAAAATTATTGAAAAAATAGAAAAAAAGATAAAAAGATTGGTTTGCCACATTTCAACAATAAAAAAAAGTTAATTTCAATGTTAGCGGACTATCTTGCCAAGAAAAGTGTCATTTGAGGAAGTTTGAAACCTTTTTTTTTATATAAAAAAAGTAGATTGAAATTCAAAATAATTTCTTTTATTTCAATTTAATTTTGAATTTCTGATTAATTAAAGGGTGTTTTGAAGTTACCAAGGAATTCAATCTAATTTTATATAATGCTTATCTGATATTTTTAAATTAAAAAGATTGAGAATAGATTTATAAGGTTATGAAACTAAGTCCCTATCTTTTCTGCATAACATATGGCTTTTACTTGTTGATATAAACAATGTATTGTTTGTTTATTTTTTTTAAAAAAAAGTAATAGGACAAATAATATGTGATTTACCTTTAAAAAAATAAAGAAAGAAACTCTAACTTGTAGCCTTTTTTCTATTGAGATATGCACGTGAGCTCAAAATTAATGATTTTATCACGTTATTTTTTTTTAATTATATAACAATTATCAAGGTATTATTTTATTTTTTAAAATAAAAACTTATTTTTAAGTTCATGATATATTTTTGTTTTAAAAAATAATACTTTTAATTAAAAATATTTTTTTTACTTGAATGATATTAATAAGGTTATGAAACTAAGTCCCTATCTTTTCTGCATAACATATGACTTTTTACTTGCTGATATAATTTTTTTAAAAAAAGCAATAGGACAAATAATATGTGATCTACCTTTAAAAAATAAAAAAAGAAACTCTAACTCGTAGCCTTCTTTCTATTGAGATATGCACGTGAGCTCAAAATTAATGATTTTATCACGTTATTTTTTTTTAATTATATAACAATTATCAAGGTATTATTTTATTTTTTAAAATAAAAACTTATTTTTAAGTTCATGATATATTTTTGTTTTAAAAAATAATACTTTTAATTAAAAATATTTTTTTTACTTGAATGATATTACTTTTCAAAGTATTTTTTATTTGAAAATATATTTAATAATATATATTTTTTATTTTTTAAAATTTATTTTTAATATCGATATATTAAAATAATTTTAAAATACTAAAAAGATTTAAAAAAAAATTAAATTTTTTAAAAATATTTTAACACTAAAGAAATAACGATCCCTTAGTATTCATGGAGTGAGGTTATTTTCTTCAAAAGAGTTTTTTTAAAAACAAATATTAAGATGTTGTTTTTTTTAATAATTTTAATAATTTATATTAAAAATATTTATAAACAAATATTTTAATATATGTTTTTAAAAAATGTGCGCTTTTCTCGAACTTTCAGCCACTCCGTTACTCGAAAATGGCCAACCCTCTCTACTGGACGAAAATCCAACTCTTCCCACTTGGCAATACTTTGGCCTTGACGTTGTCATAACCATTGCGTCCTCGTCGTTTCCCGCGTTAGCAAAGAAACCCGGTCCCGGAAACGCCCCTGCATCGCATAAAAAGAATCCCTCTTCTTCATTCCATCTCTCCCTCAGGCCTCAAGATACAATACAACGACGGCCAAAAATCCTGCCTAAATGACGGTTATGTCCTCAAACGACATCAAATACCGTAGGAGTCCACGCATATCACACCTCCCACAAAAACACGACGATTACGAGCCTCTCGAGGTCGGCTTCAATGGAGCATCCTTCTCCGGCGCCGTTTTTAACCTCTCAACAACGATTGTCGGTGCCGGAATCATGGCTTTGCCGTCCACGGTCAAGCAATTGGGGCTAATTCCAGGTATTATTATGATTCTAATGGGAGCTGCGTTAACAGAAACTTCAATTGATATGTTATTGAGATTCGGCCGAGCTTCTAAAACCGCCACGTACTCTGGCGTTGTTGCCGATTCGTTTGGTGGTTTTTGGCGGACTCTCCTTCAGATCTGCATTGTTATTAATAATCTGGGCATGCTTATTGTGTACATGATTATTATTGGTATGAACTTTCTCCTTGCAAATTTAGTGTTTTATTTGAGAGAATTTGATACTGTAATCAATGATAAAATCAGAATTTTTTTTAAGTGTTATTCATATTTTTCTAGCCCAGGGTTTTAGACAAAATGTTTGATTTTCTTAATTAGAGATTGGACGCAGTAATACGCGTTTGAATTTTGTATCTCTATTGTTTGATACTGGCATAGTTGGTGATCAACATGGCATTGTTGTTTTGGGATTTGTTTTTTTCCTTGCGCGGCAGGAGATGTGCTATCTGGGACGTGGTCAGATGGGGTGCGGCATTCTGGTGTTATGGAAGAATGGTTTGATCAACATTGGTGGACTACACGTTGCTCCTTGTTGCTCTTCACCACGGTCTTTGTTTTTGCTCCTCTCATCTCATTCAAGCGTGTTGGTAAGCATACTCACTGTAATAATACGACATTGGCTATGGAACCTTGAATTATGTAAGTATGCTTGAGCCCCAGAGGACTTTACAGGTTCAGTGGATACTGAGACAGTTGATTGGAGTTCTTAGTTATTGCTGTATAAGGCTGTCGTTGCAATGGACCAAGTTCAGCAATTTGACTTGATTATTATTTTTAATTTAATAACTAAAAAAGAGTCAACCGTGTTATTTTAGTAAATTCAAGGTTATCTTGCCAATTCTTTGGCACAGCAGATTTCTGTTTTTACCACTGAAGCATGACAGGATAGTTGGCCTGTTTGTTTTATTAGTTGAAGAAAATAATATAGAAATATGGTATGTATACATTGCTGTTGGAGCAATTGTTTTCCTCAGCATGTTCCATGCAACTGTAAAGCATTAGGAGCCTTGATATTGAGTAACAAAGCTACCTTCTTGCTTCTAAAGAACAATTTTATACTTTTCTTTGTATTCTAAGAATGCCCATGCTAATCATGCTAGTACATCTTATACAGGATTGCTGATATGCTTTGACACCTACGGGGCATCACCTTTTATTTTTTGTAATTATATCAGCTTAACAACTATGGGAAATGAAGAATAATTTTTGTTCCCTTTTCTTCTTGGTGTGGTGATACTAGATTCATTAAGATACACATCAGCATTGTCGGTGGGTTTGGCCATTGTATTTGTTGCCATCACTGCAGGAGTGGCAGTTGTTAAACTAATTGAAGGAACCATTGGAA